GAAGATACCTGTTAAACGAGTTTAAATATATAATCATCTCTTTTAATTTGTATATTTGCAGACTTGTTCATTTCATGTACATGAAAGCCCTTTACAGACAAATGCAACAGTTTTGGTCTTTTTCAGATGTAAAACAGACGAATGAGGCTAGCAGAGAACAAAGTATAATGAATAATTATATGTACGCTTTTGCAAAATGTGTTAATTGGTGTTATAAATGCTTCTTAGTTATCTTTTAGCCAGCTTTGGCTATCACAGTTGCTTGCACAGTTGCATTTTATCCAGTTTCAGTTATTTTATGTAAAACTTCTTACGCAGGATAAGGAAGTTTACTCATTTATTTTAAGTAGAGGCAGACGTTTTTATAATAAATCATCTTTTAATTTTGAAAAACATGTTGTGACCTATGCATATTATTTTGAAGAAATTCTAAGTAGCAAGAATATAAGTAAAAAGTTTTGAATTTTAAATGATTAACTTATGTCTAATTTTGAAGGAAAATAATTGTCAATTAAGCATTATAAGCTCATTGTCGTCAAAAAGCAATACTTCAAGAGGACATTTTACTTTAACTTATTGTTGCACACAAAGGAAATCATTATTGGCAATAACATACCAACTTAAAGAAATAAGAGGACGTTCAAATATTTGCTTATTGAATCTTTCCACAAATTTTTCAAGTCTATTCGTTAATGTTTTATCACAACTGCTGATGCTCAATGATATAAAAGAACAACTTAAAGAAATATTTATAAACTTAAATTTTATGTAGTACCAAACAATCACGGAATCTAGCAAACACTAAGATATTGTGGAGAGACGTCAAAATGCCTGTCTATTATACTGTTTAGCTAAGATAAATTAGGTTTATATTCCAACAATTGATAAAAATGACATTTTATCTGAAGTCTATTGGCTGATAAATTTTGATTGGGATAATCCTAGTATCAGCTTCACCTGGTTATCTCCTGACAAATCTTGATTGGCATAATCCTTGTATAAGATTCATCTGGTTATCTCCCTTAACTGTTTGTGGAACGTAAACTAAACATATATTTTTAAGACCTGAAGCTAAGATTTTTTATGTGCAGTGTAAATCTGCTTAAATAAAACTTGCATTTACTGCCATGTTTTTCAAACATTCTCTTGTTCTGTATTCGTGTGTAAGAATATGTTTTAGACATGCTTGGTTTTTTACCATTGTTTCTCACTTGAGACAGTATTTGACAGCCTCCTACACGTTTTACAGAACTATAAGTGTTTGCTATGCCGGTCTAACGTGGTAAAGTGACCCCATAGGATAATGAACCCCGGCAATTATTTTATATAAAATAGTGACCCCTTATATATAAAATAATGACCCCCTAGTTATCTATAAAATGTTGATCCCCACTTATTAAGTACAAATCCATTCGCGTAACATTAGCATAAACGCTGTAACAACTATGTAAAAATATTGTAACATCTATGTATCCCTACTAATTACGATTTCTGACCATTTTATAGGGTTGTGCTGTAACATACATAATACGCATTCTGGTAATATACCTAAATTATGATTAAATTTTCGCTTCTTTCATTGATGGCATCAGGAGAGAAATAAATATAGTTTTCCTCAAATATTTTTTCAGATTTATTTTACCATATACAAGGATACCTGAGTTATCAGCATTTAATAAAAGCTTTTTGCTAAGGGTTGCAGACATGTCATTGACGTATATTAGAAATAAAAGAGGACCTAAAATGAAACCCTTGGGGAGATCATGTTAGGTACTCGGAGCAGTAGTAGAATGAGTACCAGTCACATCCACCAGCTGCTGTCTATCAGAGATAAGACTTGAACCATGTGAGAATGTCATTACCTATGACAAATGAGAATGAAGCTAAATGAGGTAAAACATGCAATCAGAAAAGAAAAACGAGGTTAAATTAGTTACGAGATTCATTTGATATAGATAATTTGGACTACTTTGAAAGGTACGATATGCTTTTGATATGGAACTTTTTGGAAATGAAAATGAGGCTTATCACGTGGTTCAAACGAAAAAAGTTTATTGGTTATACTTTATAAGGTGTTGTGCAACGCATTAAAATATTATTATTACCCAAAAACGTCAATATATTTGTTATTATGGCATGTTGATTATAAATAACAGACTGATGGTTCACTTAATATGCTAAAGAATATTATGATCAGATAAAGGTATATTAAAATAATATAAATAGCGAATAATTAATTCTTTCAATATTCTAATTTTGTTTTAAACTCGTTGCAAGTAAAGCAATAACAGAATTACATAAAAAGGACATAACACGCTAATTAATTTAAGGCGACAAATACCCTGGGCGTAATTAACGAGTTTGTCATAAGTCGTGTAGCTGTTGTTTCCCCTGATATCGATTTTCAGTTAGATACCATTTGTTACGTTACGGTGATCAAAACTATTTTATATCTAATAGGCAAACTTGGTTGAACGTTAAGAAAGTATGCAATTGAAACCCTGTTAATTATTAAAGTCATAGGAGGGATGATCCAAAATTGATGTTGCTTAGTCGCAAGTGGTTTTAATTAAGTAAATCGTACATTAATTTAAAAATTATTTTATTAACAAATTAATGTGCATGTACATTACAAACAAAACGGATTATATAAATTTTTCACCTACACAACTTTCACATGTTTTTATTTCTTGCTATATGCTAAAAAATCGAAACTTTTAGTAAATTAGAAAGGACAAAACAATTATATATTTAGTACAGTAAAATAGCAAACGCACAATCCGATTCAATGACCATAGTAATACGTTCATGACGCATGCAGATTTTGCGATACATGTTAAGTTGCTTGCAAATGTTTAAATTCAAGACAAAATGCAGGCGGGAAAAACGATACGAAATGGTAGTTAGATATGCTATGCTGTTATGTCAAAAATGTATGTAACATGAACGTTATGACTTTAAAACAACAATATTCTAAGTGCAGTGTTACGAATATTTCTAGATTGAAAAATATCGTCGTTAAACCGGCGGAAAATCCATGAAATTATTTAGTTCTGCCATTATCTTGTTAAGATATCAAAATAACGATCTTACCACAGGGGAATAGCCATTGAAAAGGAAACTTTTTTGAACTAGAAATATCTCTTTTTGACTGCAACGGCAGTCAGAAGGTCAGTGCATGTAGGTCTTGTTAGAAAGTATGATGTGACAAAAAATGATGCGCTGCACAAACGAATGACGATCAGAGAATTGGCTGAGCATTAAGGCATCATATATGTGATACCGACTGACAAATTGAAAAGAAAATTAACGACAAAAGTAATTTTGATATATCGTATTCAAATTTGATATCTGTTTCCGATAATATCACAAATTGTGTTAATATAATATATCTGCATAAACTGTGTACTGTGTGTCGAACATTAATGATCAATTATTTTTTAAATGAAATTTGAAGTTCGTATTATCAAACCCTGATAATCAAAATTTACATATTATCTATCAAATAAATTTCATGTATACAACATGTATCAATCGGTTTTATGGCATGGCTCCGTATTATTTCACCATTATATATCCATGGGGAAACAGCTAAAGAAAATGCTGTCTTGATCCCTTCAGCACATACGCGTAGCTAGTAGTAAGACTGTTCCATTGTATGACCAACAATTGTTTGCAGTTATTTCCAACAATGTGTTATCATTGCCATCGAGAGCAAATGAGATGAATTTGGTACAAAAACGACACATGATCAAAGAGACGTCTGGTACACATGTCGCCTATTTAATAAATGTCGTCTTTAAATATTGGTGCGACGTCACCGACATTATTAAAATGAGCAACCACGTGCGCGACCATTTTGTTTTGTAGTAGTATTTCAATGACTTGTTATTTGTTTCCAAGACGTGTTGTTTTTTGTTCTAAGATTTTATGGGATGTGGCCGAGGGGTTTAGGTCGCTGACTTCAAGCCATTTCCCCCTCACCTCTGTGGGTGCGTAATACGACAGGAACTTTAAACTTATTTCATGTGAGGAACCTATCAAGCTAGTTTAATGAACGTCGATGGTTTAAATTAGGTGCCCGTTCGTGCCTGAAATAATGCACAGACGGGCACCGGAGATCTTCCTCCACCATAGTACAGTTTGAAAGTCGCCATATGACCTTTATTGTGTTGGTTCGACGTTAAACCCAATGAACCAGACTAAGATGTTGCTAGAATATACCTGACATATTCAAATTCATAATTGTGTAATTTTGTAAACGATAGAATGAACTATATAATAGTATTAACGTTGTTTTTTATCATCCCTCGTAGATATTATTTCGGCAAAATAAAGCAAGTATGTTAAGCGGTTTTTTTTTCTTTTCTTTTCTTTTTCATGCCATAATGATTAACAATCCACTACTATGATATTGATATTCTGTATTGAAAAATTACAATGTCAACTTTTAACATGACTGTAATGTATTTTAAGCCAAACACTGCAATGAATATCAAATCATGTAACTATGTGCTTGAAACCCTTTTTAACCGCTTGAAATACAATGTTTATTTTAAAGACACATGTCAAACTGATATGCCTTTGTTAAGTATTAAAACTTATGTTATGAGTTCATGGTTAAAATAAAAATGCGCTAATGCAAAATGTAGAAACATATGTGACAATTAGAAGAAAGTGAAGAAAGCTTTGACAAAGCTAAACATTGCATATTTTAATACTTATTTAACTTAACTCTCGTTTCACAACTGATTCTTTGATCGTAACAATAAGAAAACCACAAGGTACATGGTGTGAGAAGAAATATTTATTCGTTATAACTAAGTGATTTAGTTGAACCTCAAGCCTTTAGATATTGCAAATTATAAATTAAATACATCTGTCAAATATGCTGCATTAGATGTGCATATCGTTGGGCAATAATCGTTCGATTTAGACTACAATTATGTTATTCTTACTTCTAGTACAAACCATATACTGGTACAAGAAGTGTAATAAATCGATAATCAATAATATACGCATATATATATCATAATAAACAGTAACCTACATTCTAACAATTTTATTTTATGAACAGAACGATTTTATCAGTATATGTTTCTCACAGAAGGAAAATGGGAGGAGTGCAATCTCTTTTCGTAAGTAATTTTTTACAAAATTTATAATTTGTTAACCTTTTATCACTTACGCACCTTGAGGATAGAACAAACATGTAACAATTTTTTTTGATAGGTATGGTTTTTTTCTGAAAGAATGTCAAAAAATATACAATTTCATTTTCAATAAATTAAAGAGTATATCGATGTAAAAATCAAACAGATAACTGATTTCAAATAAAACTTTGGTCTAGATAGTGAAAATGCACGCGGCTTACCCTTGTCAGCTCTACAATATACATATACTTTAGGGCTCGGGATTTTAAATAAAAGAAAGGCCGTCGTATTATATCGTTAAATAACAAGAGCGGGGGCTTTGCTCGACCTTTTTATTTTTTCTAAAAGCAAACAAAAAGACGGTTTAAACAAATTTTTAAAAAGGGAAGTTGAAAAAAAATAAGTTTTTCCTTTTTATACGCCCGTTTGAAAAACGGGTCGTATTATAGTTCCCCCACCCCCTGGCGGGTGGGCGGCTGAGTGGGCGGTGTTCAATTGTTGTCCGGAACATATCTCATACACATATGGAGAGATTCTAATGAAACTTCATGCAAATGTGCACCACTATAAGAAGGTGTGTCGCGCGCATAAACCAGGCATCCAGGTCAAAGGCCAAGGTCACAATTAGAGGTCATTCGAAAAAGGCTTGTCCGGAGCAAAACTTACATACATAGAAGGATTTCAATATAACTTGGCACACATGTTCACTATTGTAAGGCAAAGTGTCCCATGCAAAATTTGGGATCCTGCGGCCAAAGTCAAGGTCAAATATAGGGATCAAATTCAGATAAAAATATGAAAATGTGTATTAGGACCATTTAGTCATCATTTATTGAGGGATTGAAACACAAATGGACATAATCATGACTACTGGTGTGAAAAATGTAATTTATATTACCGTATTAGTGGGTTTTTTCTGCAGGCTCGAAAGTCTGCGTTTTTTTCCAAATTTTGGCATGTTTTTATTTCTGCGGACTATTTCTGTGGCACGTTCTTTGGACAAAACGTGATTTATATTGTGCGACTCGTCTTATCAATGTTTAAATCACATTACTCTACCTATTTTATTTGCATATACACATTTGCATTTGTTTATCGTCGTCACCGCAAAACTGTATAGTAATTACAAACCATTATACTGTTAGTTTGCAAACAAACATAATGCGCAACAATAGAAAGATATGCATCTTTTTATTAGCGTGAAATGACGTGTGAAAAATATACCCCGGTACTATCTTTAATCTAATAAAATTGATAGAAGTTCACCGTAAATCAGATGACAAAGTATACGACGATTATTTAGCAGTTTAAGGGTTGAAATTGTTTGAAATATCTTTGTTCTTAAATTAGCATAATTAACAATAAGTACATTCTTACAAACACAGATTACATACTAAACCAGCTAACCGTTATAATCTATTAGTCGTTATAACTTAGACGAAACAGGTCATAGTGTAGGACACATATCGTTGCAGGTTAGAGAAATATTCTGAGATTTTTATTTCTGCGGTGCTGAAACTGACCGCTGAAAACGCAAAAATAAAGTCACCGCAGAAAACCCCACTTATACGGTAATATATGCAAGATCGAGGTCACTAAAGATGATTGCAAAGGTCACTAAAGGTGATAGAATATAGTGATTTTGTCCAGAGCATATCTCCTACACACATATGGAGGGATTCTAATGAAACTTCATACAAATGTTCACCAATATAAGAAGCCATGTCGCGCGCATGAGCCAGGCCTCAAGCACACACTTTGTGGTCATAGAAAATTGCTTGTCCGGAGCAAAACTTCTACATGCATAGTGGGATTTCAATATAATGTTCATTATATTAATTGTAAGGCGGAGTGTTGCGCGCAAAATTTAGGTCCCTGCTGCTTAGGTCAATGTCACACATAGGGTTCAATATTCAGATAAAAAAAATTACTAGAGATGATAGAGTATATCAAGATATTGCCCAGAGCGTATCTCCTATATGCATATCTATAATGCCAACATCTCTGTCAAAAGCTTCTGTGACGGTCTTATAGTGCGACAATGTTGCCCTTGTTTAAATTTAATAGGCTTGTCTAGTCACACTTGCTGTTTTGTCCATGTATGAATGCTTTCCATAGATGAATGACAAGTTAAGAAAATATAATCAAAATTCAATCAATTGACTGTCAATGTCATTTTAGGTCAATCTCATATCTTTATAATCTCACATGTCTGTTTGGTCACATGTGTTATATTGTCAAAATTTGAATCAAATCCGTACATAAATAACAAAATTATGATAACTTTACCAAATTCAATACTTTGACCTTGACGGTCGAGGTCAATTTGAGTTTAATATACATGTAGGTCCAGACCTTAAAGATGCTATGTCTTAATATGAAGTTAATCCATTAATAAAAGAAAGTTACAGCTAGCTACAGAAAAAAAACAAGAGAATTTCATTTATTTGACCTTGACAGTCAATGTTAAATTAAGGTTAATTTCATCATTATGTTTGTTTGATAGCAAGTTTGTTTTGTCCAAGTTTAAATCAAATCCGTACATAAATTACAAAATTATGACAAACCAACAATTAATAATTTGACCTTGACAGTCATGGTTATTCTAAGCTCAAGGTCAAGTGAACTCAACTTTTAGAAGGTCTTGTCTAAAATGTTGTTTTGTCAAAGTATAAAGATAATTTATTTATTAATTACAAAGTTACAGTCAATTATAGCAAAAATAAGTGAAAATTCAATAATTTAACCTTCAAGTCAAAGGTCATAAAAGAGCCAACGTCAATTTGAGTTTAATGTACATGAACAGTCTTATGCTAAAACACGTTCTGTTAAAATATGAAATCAATCCACATATGAGTTGCAAAGCTATAGCCAGTTATAGCTAAAAGATAAAAATTTCATTAATTTGACCTTCAAAGTCAAGTCAATAATGAATGAATGTCAAGGTTTGTCTGTTCAACTTGAAAGTATATCCCAAAAGATTATACAAAAATATAGCCACTTATAGCAATAAATCAATAAAACCAAGCAAAATTTAGGCATTTGACCTTGACGGTCAAGGTAATTATGAATAAATGTCAATGTTCGTGTAGTCTACCTAAAGGTCTTGTCCCAAGGGTTTTTTTGTGGCCAATTATAAAGACAATACACAAAGAACTTAAAAGTTATGATAAAGATACAAGTTTGCGTACGGCAACATCAACGACTACCCCAAGACAACGCCGACAAGACTGTAACAATACCTCTATTTTTTATTTTATTTTATTTATTTTTATGTCGAGCTAAAAAAAAACAAATAAACCGTAAAACACTAAACATGAAACTGAATTTGAAGGAGTAAAATAACAAACAAAAAAAATAATCCAGTCCTACTCTTAAACATAATGTATATTGAAAACTTTCATTTCCAGTATATTACAAGCAAAGTGGGCAAATTAACATAACATAAATAATATACAAAATGCAACTAAAGTATAACTTTTCGCCATTCGCAATATTAGCAACAATAATATTGGAAGCAACATAAATAGTTTACAGCAGCCGTTGTATGCAATAAATACGCATATGTATATAACACAAACTACAACATTTGTAACTCTCCATTTTCAGTCCGCTGAGAAAAAAGGCACACTAACTACCGCCGATATTAACAACGAAGTTCAGCCCTTTATACAAGATTTGACACACCGCGACAGAAAACTGTTTAATTATGCAAAGAAGGAAATAAGCAATGAAGCCAGCAAGTTAAATATCATAAATGCTACGGTCTGCATTGAGTTTCAAGACAGAGAACATTGTTGTTTTGGTAGGGGAGAAGGCGATGAACAGTACATCCGAATAGCAATGAATGATGATGGTGAATGCACTATAGTTTGGGAAAAACAATGGTTTTGCAGAAAAGTATGCCAAAGTGTTATCAACGCGGATTTTACCGTTTTGAAAGCATTCGCTAAAGCTGTTATTCCTTTTCTATTGTCAGCAGTTGGTATAAAACAATTGGGGTGGCATTGATAATAAATTGACTATTATCTTTTTTTAAGTGAATATATCATTTTCTAATGATGTTTAACATCTTAAAACTACAAAGCTTGTGTTAAACTGATATTCGTTTTCTTCATAATGATTATTCATCATTTATAAATAATTCAAAAAATATTTTAAATTAAATACAATTTAGAATATACATTATCTTAGTGTTTTGTCTTAGGTGCAAAAATGATCACAACGGCCATTCACAAGGCGGAATAATAGCATTGTATTAAATGCTGCGTATATATTATGTATGCTCTAAATAATAACGAGTACACGTTTTATCAAGTATTTGTCTCATACAATTTCAACGATAGCAAACACTAAAGGTGATTAAAATCCCAAACAGCCACCTTACATTTTGATAAACAGGTGGTATGAAGCAAGATTTAAACTCGACCTATACCTCAGAATGTTTCCTCCGTGTAACATTGATTATTACATTTAATTGCCTATCTTCCAGAAACATTTTTTCATATTTTAAGTAATATTGACATTGAACCTAGGGGGTTCAACAGGGTTCAACAACAATACCAAGCTAGACCTATTCGTATGCTTGCTAGATACCAGGTTATATATATTTTTTGAAATGAAAGACCTTTACCGACTGCGCTAAGAGCGATTCTTAACCTAGGCTTTTTAACATGTTTTACATTCATATCAATTTACAAGTGCATTGTAACGATTTCGGAATTTACCTACTATAAGGTCAAATGCAAGAGTGTCAGGTAAATATTGTTGGAGAAAAACAAATAACTAAGCTATTGATAGAAGACATCTTTGCAACGGCTTAAGTTGAGGGAAACATGTCTGCATATAAGTTTTAGTTAAAATTTTAATATATATCATTTTTAGGAAATTAAAGAGGGCATTAAAACACAGTCACGTGCATAATATTGCACGCCGATTTTTAAGGGAGAGTGTAATGGATATTGGTATATTGTAAAATTATGATCGTTAACATTTATTTTATATTCGATTACCACCTATCGATTTTGCGCAAAGTACGTGCATAAAATGTATTGAAAACCGCTCAATTGTAAGACAGGATAACAATGGACACGGACGAGGTATGATATTGTACAGAGCCCCTAATGTGACATTTTCCAGACTTTTTCCTCCGTAACTTATTTTCGTTTTTACAAAATAATAATTCGTTATTACGAAATATTAATTAGTTTTTACGAAATATTATTTAGTTTTTACGAAATTATAATTCGTAATTACGAAAAGATAATCCGTTAGTAGGTTCTTTGTCAAGCTCACGATGACCTTAAATAAGATTTCGTAAAAACGAATTAATATTTCGTAATAACGAATTAATGTTCGTAAAAACGAATTATTATTTTGTAAAAACGAATTAACATTTTGTAATTACGAATCAATATTTCGTAATTACGAATAAATATTTCGTTAATACGAATCAATATTTCGTAATTACGAATTAATGTTTTGTAAAAACGAATTGTTATTTCGTAAAAACGAATTTATATTTCGTAATTACGAAAAAAATATTTCGTAAAAACGAATTAAATCCCAAGAAAAAAATGTCGAAAATGTCACCTTAGGGGCTCCGTAGATATTGATTTTTGTTTTCTTTTGATATAATTTTAAACAATAGCTACTTCTTTTAACGAAGTACAATTTAAATAGAATAACTGAGAATAAGCGTTTTCATGTACACAGTTAATTCCCTTTAGTTTTACGACATTTTGACTATCTTAGAGCATATTTAAAAATAAAGATTAAATGGTATCCGTACATTGAAATCGTGTTGTCCATCTGTCAGTCCGCCTATCCTCCTGTCCGGATCTTAAACTTAGAAACGGTGTTACTGAAACTTGATAAAAATGTATATATGAATGGGAAAATGACCTAATTAACGAACTTGATAATTTGAGCATAAATGTGCATGCGTTACAATTTTCTCATTCTTAACGTGTTAACCATTCATTTACATACACTATGTGACGAACCAAATGATCTTTCATAATGTCATACTTCAAATTATGGCATTTTATGTCAGAAGGGTGTTCTTTTTCTACATAAAGGGCTAGTGTAAATTAAATTACTCAATTCAATTATCTGTGGAATTTTTATGCCCGCGAGCATATAGTTATTGAACCGTCCGTCTGTCCGTTCAATGTTAACCTAAAACGGCAAGTTGGATTTTTCTTAAGTTCTACCTGCTTACTAATCAATACAAAATACATGATCTGGGTAAGTAACATAACTATGGCTTCCATTTTACCAAGTTATTGTATTTTTCAGCACTTTGAAAATGAATATGGTTAACCTTAACAGGCAAGTTGAATATATCTTAAGTTCTATCTACAAACCGTACAATCAAATGGCTAGAAAAAAGTTCAATGCGTCGACAGCCGTACTAGTATATACATGTCGGTATAAAAACATAATTGACGGACGGTAAGTATTTATCTTTTATATCTCAATCTTGTTCGAGTAAATCAATGTTATCGATTCATACTCAACATCTAAAGGAGCCTGCTAACCATTTTCTGGCTCTTTTTAGGGGGTCATACGATGCGTGCGCATCCTCAGAAATTCTGATACAGCGAACACTTTGTCAACCGGTCATTTTAAAACAAAAACGAGTCCTGTAAAACAATCAGAATAGATTGGAATTTAATTCCGTTAGCAAAGAAGATCCCCTTACTTCAAGTTTTAGTATTCTAAATGCCTTGACTTTCTCGTTTAATGCGATTTTGATTCTGGATAGTGCGTACATCCGGCGTTTAAATGTTACAGAAATGGAGAAGTTGTCGGTAAAACTGAACGTTTCAGACGACTGGATGTTAGTTTATTGTGGAATCTATTTCAAAAATATAATTTCAATCTTTTTTCTTTTTCTTTTATATAAGAAATGTCTTAAAACGCACTTTTTACAGAAATAGACATAATGATATTGCGTACACTCTAAATAAAAATCAAGATACTGCGTACACAGTTATGTGTTATCCATTGTGCATCCTCAAAAAGGCTCGAGTTAAATATTTTTATAAATTTGTTACTTTATTTATCTAACACTCTATCTTGATAAAAGATTGTTTTACACTGCATTTAAAAATCACTAACTTTAAATAGTAAAATTTATATATTAATTTAGAAAATAAATGTGTGCCGATTATGTGGCGAATTCTCCTGCAGACATCATGATGGAAGAAACCGGCAAGGTGGTCCTCAACAAATGTGACCTTTGTAAGCATGTGGTTTATGTTCTGAGTATTTTTATTTGATATATACTTCTGAGTGGAAAATAGAACATTTGCCCATAAATTTCGTATTTACGACCTCTACTTTACGAATTCAGTGCTTTAAAAATTCACTAACAGACCTTCGTCCACCTGTAATGGTTATTTATCAAAGTAAACTATCTTAAACTTATGATAAATCTTTTACATTACATAAAAATATTTATGAAGTTGTTAAATAACGATAAAATATACCTTTCTTTGTTGTGTTTTGCCCTACATAGAATGCGCATACACGTAATACAACAAAAGTTGTTAAAACTCGATTGATTAGAATTTTGTATAAAGTAAGGTAAGAAAATAAATTTCAGGGTGGTAAAATGAGGAAATAGATCTTGATTTTGAGTGGTTTGTGCTATCTTATGGCATGATATGGATTTCAAATAAGAAGGTCGTTAAATCTACCGTTGATACAAACATTTTGAGAAAAAAAATATATTGAAAACGTCCATAAAGTTGTTTGTGTTATTTTCTTTTAACTTCCAAGCGAAATACAGACTATTTATAGAGAAATAAAAGCAACGTTGAAATAGCGCTTTTTTGACGGCTTTTGCACGCGACGTTAGGGGCACTTAAATACTGTACAGCGTTAATGACTGAATTAAAGACATTGGTATCCGTATTCATTTTCTTAGTTAGACCATTTTCTATCATTCTAGATACTTTTCAGAGCAAAATTCAACAAAAAAGACTATCAGAGTTTCCAAAATGGAACCGTTAATGTGTCGGTTTGCAAATATACGTAGGGAGGAAATAATGTCTGCTATTGTATCTAATTAGAAAATAAATATCAACTCTGACTGCATTGTTGTAGAATAATGCACGGTTTGATGTCAAATGCGTAGGAATATAATCACGAAGGCCAAAAGGCATGAGTGATTAATTACAAAGCATTTGAACGAAAACACGTACATTATTATTCTTTATCACATACCCGTGCCGCTTTTGCGACTCCGTTTATTTTAATAAATGGTATTGTACTATCATGCATATATTTTGACGTGACGTCATTTACGTATGTAATACTGCACGTTTGTAACGTCGCTTTTCATTGGATAAACGTGACATTTATTAAGAGGATATTTTTTTCGTTTGAGTGAAATGTTGAAAATATTTTCACGAAACATGATAAAATTCCATATATTTTATTAAATCTTATCATCTTAAGTGAAAATATATACCATATAGCACGAAAAATGTAAATATAACAATTTTCTTTAATGTTATCTTCAAGAAGAAAACAATTAAAAATAAAAACTTCCATTTGTTACGGAGTTGCAATTGTACAGCACTCCGTAAAACATTGACTATTTAAATGTGCGGAATTCAGTTCAATACATAATTTATCAAGGCCATCTTGACTTGAACTGTCTTAAGAAAACATAGCCAGCTAATTTCTGATAATGAAATGAGCAGCTGAAGCTACAGACTGCCACAGAAAATCATCTGAGAAAGAAGTCCCAAAAATTAATATAATTTTTGACTTCGCCCACTTTCATGATTACTTTTCATATTTGTTTTTTACCAATTTTGCTATGTATTTGATTGACATGGCACCATATTTCATGGGCAAAATTAAATAAATAGTTTTATAAACGTGCACGGTTGATGTCAATTTATGAAGAAATCTTACTTTTTCTAGTAAAAATTAAGTTTCCAGTACATGTATTATAAATTCATTATTAATATTCCTGACGGGTTATATGCAAACGGTTGTTTACAATATAACCCCCGTAGGGAACGTGTTACAGTATCGCGCTTTTAGGTTACAGTATAGAATTTTCAAGATGGAGGATTATTTGTGGGGAAGAGAGGTAGGTATTTTTTATTCCGGTCCATACTACAAGTAGTTTAGTTTCTAATAGATGTTTTTGTGCTTCGC